GGTTCTGTGTCTTGGTGTTTGTAACTCGATTGCTTTTATTGCGTTACTGTCGCCATTTTCACTTCGCTTAGTATAGCTACTGCCGGCTTCTGTTTCCTGGTAGCTTGTCCCGTGATTGCTATGAGGTACTATGAGTGTTTCTCGTAGCGGTCTTTGTATCGCGTTGTAGTCCCCTCTGTGATCGCTGATGAAGGAGCCATGGCGCTTTGGGCGGAGCCTCGGCACACGACAATGGTAATTAGGTCAACAGGGGTTAGATAAACACCCACATCCGATCGGAAACGAAGTCCCAGTATGGGATTCTCACCAATGCGCAGTCAGTATTATGCTTGATTTTTGCCAAAATCTTCTGAGAACGATTCAGGATCCCGTCATACTCCTGGCAAAGGCATCCAAACCTCCGAGTTTCAGCACAAAACGCCGCAGGCAGCACTGCTGAACCCTTTGCCGCCCCTTGGGGTCGCGCCAGAACTCCGTGCGGACGTGCTGGCTGCCGAATCTGTGGCTGCGCGCTTGCAGGTTGTGAAGCGAGGCCATGTCATAGATTTTAACGGACTGCTCTGTCGTGTTGATGTGCTGGGCTTTGGGCATCTGTGGTAAGGGGCCTGAATTTGGCATCCCAAGCTCTACTCCTGCAGTGCCACGGCAGCTGACTTTGTAAATATGCAGCAAGGTCCAGTTCTTCTTCTGTTCCGTTCCATTCAGCATTTTCGGGGCTCCTTATTAGGCCCCGACTCCATACACAATCTGCAACCTGCTACGGACCCGTGTGCACGGGTGACATTTAGCAACCATGCGAGCTGTTTTTGAGTTGAGGGGAAACTGCGAAGGCATAAGGCAAATAAGGATACCATAATCATGCAAAATTACGGGCCTCTTGCACACATCTTCCAGATTCCTTACTCGGTTCCGGCTTTCTGTCTTTGCTTTCTTGGGAGATGCCTTTTGGATACCAGCCTGGCCACTCAACTGCACTCCAAACACGAACCCTTAGTCAGCATCATGCACTCATCACAGTAGCACCTCGAGCAATATCGTGAGTGAGCTTGCTTTGAACAATATGAGGAGTGTTGATGGCAATGCAGGACTCAAAGCCTCGCTGGAACACCTCCGTCTGCTGGCGAACTCTCCAGCACGGCGGCTGGGAGCCTGGAGACCAAAAGACATGTAGTTTAAATGTGGCCTCCAGACACACCTGGAGGTCTGTCCATCGATCATCTATTTCCCAGTTATATTTGCAGGGTTGTTTGAGGATCTGTGAAGTGACCCCGATCCTGAAATCTTCACAAAGATCCAGCTCAGGTGGATTCTCATGTTTACACGTCTCCCTGCACCCGTTGCCTTGACGGCGGTTGTGGTGCGGAGCTTAGTGGCTGAGCCGCCTGCTTCCCGCGGCTGTTGGGGCAGTTGCGGGCCCATCAACAGTATCTACTTTATCTACTGGGGCACGAAGCACTGGCTTTCTGCAGACAATCAAATCACGGGACTTTTGAGGAATCGCGAAGGGATCAAGAGGAGCTTTGATTCCTTTTATTAGTCATGCGTCGAAAAGCAAAACCGGCAACAACAACGCGAATAACGGTGGATAGTCGCCCTGTTTTGCTTGATTTTCTGAATCCGAGAGGTGGTGGCCTGCATTGTCTCGGCAGCCTTTCCCGGACAGGCAAGAAGTTGAAGAGAGCAGTGTGCTCACTTTTAGGCCTGAGGTGTCTTCCACTGCACGTAAGAGGCATGACCGCATGACCTGTGGACCGGTGATATCCGAGGAATGCTTCAAGAAAACTGCACATGTACTCTCACTGCACAACATGTGGCACGTTTCTTTAGGCAGCAGGGTAGAGGGCAGTCTGTCATCCTCTTTGTGATACTAGGGTTTATGCACTTTGCTATCCGGCTTCTTAGTCTTGCTTCACGGGCAGAAGTTCATCTAGCGGTATCTACCATTCGCCTTGAAACGGGTTCACTGGTCTTGCCTCTCTCCGAAATCCAAGTTGCCCATGCAACGATCTGTTTTCAAGCGGTTGTGAAGCGACCGCGTCTCGAACAGCGAGTAGCAACCTTGTCATTTATGTACAGGAACTATTTGTGCCGGTTTGACCCACGGCCATTTTCGAGCACCTTGTGAGTTGCCTAGAAAACATGCGTCCTCGAGTGCCTTTTGCCGTTCAGAGCTTGTCAAGTCAGCAGCAAGACATGCATGCGAGCCTCGACGTTTGCGGACGGTGTAGTAGGTCGAGAATTTTTTTGGCTGTTGGGATGAGTGTCTTTGGGATCACGACAGCACTGCATGGTGTTACGGGCCTCCAATGCCTCGATCCATCGAACATTTTCGGCTCTCAGCATGAAAAAGCCATGAGACACCGCGTGATCCATTGGCACACACGTAAGCCATAGATCCACTGCCGGAATGAGGAGACCACAGTTTGCAAGAAGACGCAAGGTACTGCACTTCTGCATGGTGCTGATGAGATGCAGGCATGAAGCACAACTCCGGAGTATGGCAGAGCCCACGACCCAGAGAAGGGCCACCAGCCCCAGTCACGGGCGCAAGACCTTTCAAGGGGTCGTCTGAGTTGGCAATAGGGCAGGAGACGATGGGATGGAGTAAGAGAGAGACCAGCAGCGGCTTGGAATCGAGACTGAAAGATGGACGGAGGCGTTAGACCCCAAGGCATCCCTAGTTGACAGGGCCGAAGATTTAAACAATGAAGGGGCGCAGATCCCGAACGTTCAAGCATGTCATATTCACGTAACCTTTCGATGCAGCGGTGCCGAGCCCTGCAGTAAAGTGAATGGTTTTCTAAACTTGGGACAGCTGGTCGCCATCATTGAATCATCCCCGGGTTGAGGTCTTGAGGAGAGCTGTTTCTCTCTTCAAGAGCAGCTCTCCGCCGCACCTTCCGGATGCGCCAGGCGGTTCTAGATGGTGAGTCTGACTTCAGTATCATGACAGACTATCTTTTGTCTTCTTTCTTCATCTTTCTTCTCTACAGCAGTTTTTGCCGTGTCGCGGGTCGAAGAAGCCCGGGGGGGTGGTGATCCTAGCGTTGCTTTTTCTCGTCGGTTCTTGGTTTCTTGGGAGAGCTTTTGCCTTGTTGCCTGTCGCACAGCCTTGGATGGAACTTCAGCCGGAACTGCCCAAGCTCAAAACCTAAACCTTTCCGGCCACCACGGCCAGGAAAGTGAGTGCTGCTAGGTTTCTAGTGCAGGTTGGCCACTCTGTGACCCGGCCAACACGACTTTCTGACGTCAGCGCATAGGAGGGTATATTATATTGATAATATATATAATAATATACTATTTCTAATTATAACTAAATATATATATATATGTATATATATATATATATATGTATGAACTCTCTGACTCAGAGCAGGCCACGAGCGGCTTGCGCCGAGTTTCTGGCCGCGCCGCGACCGGTGGAAGCACGAGCCAGCCGCTTCCTCCAGTCAGGAGTTCATCGAGGGATCCTCCCAAGGTTAGATGCTTCTGTGATCCGGGCTCCTCAAGAGCGGAAGGGTTTTGCTACAAGATGAGGACAGGCTAAGACTCGGGCTGTGAAGTCAGGAGCTCTTATTGTCAAGAGCCGCTTCGCCAAGCATCGAGCTCTGCAAGCGTCCCATATTTGCTCAGGCGACAGCCCTTCTCTGCTTTCGCAGGGGCTCGGCCCTTGACAATCCGATCCTTTTTATAAACAAAGTATCCCTCCTAGTCCTTATCTACGTGTGGTATAACATATCCCCGAGACCCTAGCCCCAAGACCCTGGTCAAATTTTCAAGGCCTCGATAGTGTAGTAACCGTTCTAGAACTCCAACAGCAACCCCAACGGATCCCTCACAAACCCTGCTCGAAATCTTAAGGCCCCTATACTGCACAGGACGCGCTAACAGCTCGTTCGGCGACTTCGGCCACAAAAGGCCGCTTGGGTCCAGTGCAACGGTTGCAAGGAATGCTCGGGGCCTTTTAGGGTTTAGGGGTTTAGGGTTGCGTTAGCGGTTAGGCGAAGGAGGTTGCCATATTCTTCAGTGTAGGGGTTAACAATGAAGGTTATTGCGAGGGCTACCATTTGAGTGATTGCCGTAAGTGTAATTCCAGGTGTACCGTGGCATTGTCACACGCGCTACTCCGTTAGTCAAGGCGTTACTCTTGTGAACTAATTGGGTTGCGGATGTGATAGCTGTTGCACCATGTTTGAAGGGTGTTCATGCAGGCAGGGTTTGGGTGGGTGCTTGCTGAGCATAATGGCAGGAACAAGCCAAAGCGATGCAAGTCGGATCACGTGATTGGAGAATCGTGGCAAGTTGAGGCTCAAGTCACACACGTTGTTGGTGAGTTCCTTTATTTTGCAGTCGCTCTCTCGACATGGCGCGAGCAATGGCCGCCATCATGCTTCTTCTGCTCGTTCCTGCTTCAGGTCTTCGGAATGTGGAAGGAGGGGGTGACGTGGTGCAGCAGGTCGAGGGCATCGGCCAGGTTGCAGAGCACCACGATCACGCCGACGAAAGATCCTCCGCAACCAAGCACTGCCAGGGAGAAGAGGAGACACTAGAATGGGAGAAGACCGGATGCAAGACTGACGCAGACTGCAAGCTTTGCGGCAAAGGCTGGATTTGCTACCACCGAAGTGAACACATCATGCAGGAGGAAGCGGACAGGCCTATGTTCAAGGCAGCCTATTGTACCAAGATTTTCTAGTTGAGGCATTCGTCTCACGGCAAAGTCTCGGAGCAACTTGCCCTGTCCACTGACCGTGCCAGGAGCTGAGTTCAAAATTCCATCGAACTCGGACTGCATTGTAAGCCCTGAGCTCCGCACGAAAGTAGCCTCAGCTCTAGGTTCATGACCGAAGCCTCTGGATGCCTGATGCTCTCTCAGCTCTGGTGGGAAGTTGCCTTGTTGGGGATCGCAGTGCACAGGCGCCCAGATGGGGGTGTGAAAGATGCAGATGGAGGCGCCATCATCGAGGAGACGACGTGCCCCAAGCTGGAAGCCCCAGTCTGCTCGGCTGTTTTCGTGGGCGGGGGACCCGAAGCCCCAAACCCTGAACCCTAAACCCTGAACCCGAAACCCTTAGACATCAAAAGGCCCCTCAAAAAATCCCTGAACCCTGAACCCTGAACCCAAAACCCGCAGCCCTGAAACTCGAAAACAATGGCACCAAGGCTCGGCCTCGCAGAAAACGAGCACGGCACCGGCCTGAAGGCCGGGCACCTCCAGCTGGGGCCCGGTACCCAGAGATCTCTTCTGCACCAGGGTTTGGGGGTTTCGGGATTAGGGTTTGGGGTTTGGGGTTTGGGGGTTTCGGGATTAGGG